GCTCAGGGGCCAAATTTTGTTCCTGAGCCAGGAGCATTTTACACTCATGTTTTCCATGATTCTCGTGTGATCGATAATTGGCACTCAAATATGAATTGTGTGTTTTGCCATGATTTGGAATTGTGGGCAGAATTGTAGTGATTTTGCCCAGAGTTCCAAATCACCCATACGTGAACAGAGCCTATCTGGCCAGATCTCCAGGTGAAAATAAGGGAACGAAAGCCTAAAAAGGAAAGCTAAAGCAGCCATCACATCTAAGAAATGGTAAGCTGCAATATAATAAATATTGGCTTTTAGGTTTAATACCACTTTAAACACATTATAATATCAGTTAAGTCTGTCAATACCCAGAATATTTCTGCAGATTAGTTAGAGCATTGAATAGTTATCTGCAGTATCTCTATGGTTCTTTAAAGAGGAACTCTACTTTTGTTGAGAAAAAAACATTCCCCTCTGGGTGATATATGTACATTGCAAGGATTTTACCAAACTTTGTTACAGATCTCTACCTTTTGTTATTTCTGGAGAAATACCTGTTTGTTTGTCTGTATCCATGTGCAGAGTGAATCTGTATGGGAGTGGTTTTATACTTATCAGTCAGCTGCTGCACCTGTAGGGCTCTAATGAGGACATTGTCAAGGTCTGCATCCCTTTAGGCGTGATTTCTCTTTGGGAGTATCTCACCAAAAATGACATTTTTGTTTCAGGAGATACAAAAAAAAGTGCCTTGTATCTTAGTGCAGACTTCTGGGAAAATCAGTGATCCAATCACAAGCAGGAAATTAAATTTTTAGGGGCGTTCTTTATGCCATCTGTGTACAGAATGCCTCCAGGTAGCCATATTGCATTGCATTTTACAGAGATTTACAGCACATACAGATTGGAAAGGAAAGGTAATTTTTAATACCCTTCAATTACAATATGAGTCACAATTGTATATGCTATATAATTTATTTATTTTAATTTTTTTGCTTTTTTTTCCCACGAAAGTGGAGTTACCCTTTAAGGTCTCCTTCATAAGTAATCTGTAAAAGAATCCGTAGAATCACCACAAAGATTCTTCAGTCCAGTATGTATTTTCCATCATATGGTAATTACAAACATCCAACGCTCCAAAGGCTTAACTCTCCCCCTTCGTCAGGGTTAAAGAAACATAACATAAATATTAAAATTTAGCTATGTAGAGCCACAGACACTAGTCAATAAACATAATAACAAAAGTAAATGCTATAAAACACTAGATCTGTAATAAAAACGATCTTAGATGGTCATTATGACTGTAAATAGGAAGATAAAATAGAAAATTGATCATCCAATTCAATATAAAATAATCAAAACCAATCCTCACATCTGATAAAGAGTAACATAACCAGACTGATACTGTATAACCAGATGGATATTTGTATGCAAAAAATATGCTTCAAGGAAAATGAGCATTAAAATCAATAGATATTTGTTTAACCTCCCTGGAGGTATTCTTGAGTGTAGCTCAGGGTAAAGTTTCAGCACCACAAGCGGTAACCCCGAGCTACACTCGGGAATACCTTGCAGCGTTGCTCCGGGATCCCTTCTGCACTTACCTTGTCCTTCGCTCCCGTGATGTCCCCCCTGCCATCTCCTCCGGCCAATGCCAGCATCTGTCTTCCGGGTTCCGTTCCCTGAGATGTTGGGACATACGGGGGACGTAACCGGCGGGAAATTTAAAAATGTCAAAATGTGACATTCACTAAATACACTAAAATCACACAATATAACATTACTGTATCAAAGCATTTCACATACATTTTGTCCCTAGTGCTTTGTCCTGTGCCCTGCCTGCATTTTTACTGTTCTTTCTGCCTGGAAACTGAGAAATGTCCATGGCATCCAAAAAGCGTCTTTTTAGGTCAAAAGCGGTTTTAGACCAGCTAGAGAACAGTGATAGTAAATTAGAACCACTTGCAGAATTGAGTGATATTGATTCGTGGGGAATTCTGTCATCAGACACTGAAAACGATTTTGCGACTAAGCTCACTGATGTGCAAACTTGGCGCTCTATGTCAAATGTCATTGTTTTTGGTTTGATTACATTATTGAATTATTTTTATTATTATTATTATACTATTATTTTTTATGATTAATTATTATATTATAATTTATGATTTCGTGTTTCAAATTTTATCATACCCGGGATGTTTACTAGACTCTTGTTTGGACAGATTTCAGTAAGTTATTCCTAAAAATTACAGTCCTACAATAAAAAAAGACATATTTCCATGCAAAAAAATTACGCTTTCAGCACATAATCAGACCATTAGGGAGGCTACTAAATACCATGATATAATAAAATTAATTTTATATATTCAAATTTTGTGCATTAAAAAATAACTATACTGCTCGCAGTGAAAGAAATATATATCCATTAATGGAATGTATATAAAAAAATAATATAACTTCGATAATGATATTACCAACAGGGGAGCAATTGTGCATGCTTACAGAGATCTTCTAATAGCAAATAATCAGTCTATACCTTTAAAGGCATCAATATAATAACACAAGGTGATTGTCTACATTCTCTCATATAGTATAAACATAGTAAAAAATAAACACAAACACACTCAACATATATTGTTTATTGATACCGAAATAGAATATACTTGCAACAACAGGTCGATGTTGTTGAACTGACAGCACACAACATTTATTTATTAGAGGTACTTATATAGTGCCGTCAATTTATGCAGCGCTTTACATATATATATTGTACAATCACATCAGTCCCTAACCCTCAAGGAGCGTACACACTAAGGTCCCTAACTTACATTCATACATTCACATACTAGGGCCAATTTAGACAGGAGCCAATTTACATAGCAGCATGCCTTTGGAGGAGTGTGGGAGGAAACTCACACAGGCACAGGGAGAACATGCAAACTCCAGGCAGGTGGTGCCATGGCTGGGATTCAAGCCAACGACCCTAGTACTGCCAGGAAGAAGTGCTAACCATTTACCCACTGTGCTGCAACATGTATGAATTACTGGTTTAAACATTCTTAAAGCTAAAGGTTTTTTTTTGGAGGGGGGGTGTAGGCAGCACCAAAAAATACATTAGTTATGCATAATAGTGTGAATCCCATTGTCTGCAGGCATTTGTTTCTGGTAAAAGTCCCTTGTTCAGTGCCTCCTTCACATGTACCAGATACTGCCCTGGATGTCTGTCTTCTAGTACTTTGAAGGTTAACAGCAGCTGCTGCTACTGAGAAAAGTTGTTCTGTTCACCTAACCTCTTCTGCCTTCTCCATCATTCATGTTGCTTTTATTACTATTCCCCCATATTGAGTTCTGTGTTGGGTGGTAGATAGTCTGTCATTCAACTGTTTCTGCTCCATTCACAGGGTGAAGGTAGAATGGTGTGGGCAAGCAGGGTAGTATCTGGCAGCTTTGAAGAGGCACTGAAAGGGAGATTTTTAGCTCAAACAATTACCTGCAGGTAATGGGGATACACACCATTACATGTTACTGTGTTTGATGCTGTATTCTAAAAAAACTAAACAAGCAGCAAAACAAGTGTAGGGTTTGGATTTGGAGATGGAACTGATGTGATACAGCAAAAGGAAAGACCAACAGGGCTTTGATCTGGAAAAGCGATGTGTGAAGTGATTGATGTAAAAGTTATCAATGAAGATCTACCCTGGTGTCTTTTGGTCCATTGTACTGAAATGACTTTACACAATACTTTTTCGCACCATAGCCCCTCTGGACTTTCCTATTGGGAGTCTTTTACATGGGGAGCCTTTTTCACTGGGAGAAGTATAGTTATTATTTAATGTACAACTTGCTGTTAGTATATCAATATACATTGCTTATATTATTGTAATTTATCATTACAAATTTATATTTCCGTTTCAATCTGCAGCACTCTAAAATTCAGTGCAACATGGCAACCTGGAGGTGTTTTGTACACAGTTGCTGTATGGAACACCCCCAGAGAGATCACTTCTTGCCAGGGGCGGACTGACCATTTGTAAACTCAGGCACTGCCCGGGGGCCCGGGGTCAGTAGGGGGCCCCATGAGATGCCCCTGGTACCTTTTTCATAGGCTTTTTTTGAGTTTGGGCAAGGACACAGGGGCTTCATGATCCCCTATTGCCCGGGGGCCCCATGAGTTGTCAGTCCGCCCCTGCTTCTTGCTTGTGTGATTCTATGATTGACTCACTGATTTTCCCAGAAATCAGTACTAAGATATCAGTCAGATTTTATGCTTTCTCAGCAACAAAAATTTCAGTTTTGGTGAGATGATCCTAAAGGGTTAATCACATCTGAATGAATGCAGACCCTGCCACTTACAGCCCCAAGTGCATCAGCTGATAAAAAAAATCACTCCCATTCAGTCAATGTCCACCACCAACATTATTCCTTAGATGTTTTAACAGAAGTTTTTATTTCTTGTGTACAAATAAACATGTGGGTTTTCAGGTGTTATCTAACTTTAAGGTGGTATTCACTGACTGAGGAATCACACCTTTTAAATTCATTTTTTTTCTCCTTTTGTTTGTTTATGGTCATTTTGGGATGTGGCATGATCGTAAATTTGTTCCGTAAGTCCCCATATCTGTTCACTTTTTGTAGCTCTAGATATCTAGCTATTATTATTTCATGTTGTTATGTTTCTTCACCCTAATGAAGGTGGATTTTAGAGCCCCCAACACACATTGGCTTTTGATTAGTGTGTGATGAAAAATAAAATTCTTACTGGACTAAATCAAACTTTGTGGAACTCTCATTCTTCCAATGATCTACTGACCCTCTCCAGGGGCCTTATGTGATAACCTGATGACAGAGAGCTGCTTTAGATTTTGAATCTCTGTCCACTCTGGGGTACAGTTCTCCACCAACTTTCTTCATAAGTGTAGGAAATTTACTCAACCAAACAAATACCATACGTTTCGCTCCATAAGATGCACTTTTTTCCCCCAAAAAAAGAAGGGGAAATGTCAGTGCGTCTTATGGAGCGAATATGGATCGGCCGGTCCGGTATTTCCGACGTGTCAGAATATCGGGCCGGCCAATCGGCTCTTCTCTGCAGCAGGACCTTACCTGTTCCTCGGTTCAGCGCTGTACAGTCTTCCGGCGCCGGCATCTTTAGTGTGGGCACCTGGCTGTGACAGCTGAATGCCCACTGCGCATGCGCGAGAAGCGCTGCACTTTTTGAATGGTCTGGCGTCTTCTGGGACACATGACAGGTCCCAGAAGGGAGGACTGTCAATTCAGGTACCCACTCCCCCTCACTCCCCAAAGGTCCGCAGTCTCTTGGTCATCCCCTGTACTGTCTGCAGTCTCTGCTCATCCCTTGTTCTGTGTCTGCAGTCTCTGGTCATCTCCTGTACTATATCCTCAGTCTCTGGTCATCTCTTGTACTGTGTCCGCAGTCTCTGGTCATCTCCTGTACTGTGTCTGCAGTCTCTGTTCATCTCCTGTACTATGTCTGCAGTCCCTGGTCATCTCCTATACTGTGTCCGCAGTCTCAGGTCATCTCCTGTACTATGTACACAGTCTCTTGTCATCTCCTGTACTGTGTCCACAGTCTCCAGTCATCTCCTGTACTATGTCCGCAGTCTCTGGTCATCTCCTGTACTGTGTCTGCAGTCCATTCGTTTAGAATATTTTTTTTCTTGTTTTCCTCTTATGGTCAGGTGCGTCTTATAGAGCGAAAAATACAGTAGTTCTTGTACATCTTACTAGGGGTTAGGTTTGGGTATGTTGAAACCATGCGTTTGTGACAAAAACTTTGCAGGTTCGTTGTCAGAAATAAGGAACAACCTTTGTCCCTTGTCAGCTGAGTTACAAGAGTCAATCATTTCAAGAAAAGAAAATAAGCCACCTTTATATAAAAGAGCGGGCTCACAGCAGTCTGTGTGTTAAAGTATAACTAAAGGCAAAACTTTTTTTATTTGGACAGAGTGGAGATGGATTAGAATGCCTGTTAGGTATTTATTGCTGTGTGCCCCCATTAGGGAGATTCACTCTATTTGTCTTGTTTACCATTATCATTGAAATAAAAATTTAAAGTAAAAGCCAAAATTTGGGGTTGTCCCCAGAAAAGTAATAGAAGGGAAATTTTCCAATGGGGACGCTAGTTCTGGTGACCTGGGGGTCCCCAAGGAATTTTGGCTATGGGACAGGAAGTGAAGGTAAATCTCGCCAATGGGACACAGATGGCACAAAAAAAAACTGCCAGGGATCATAACCCTCTCTTACTCTATCCAAATTGAAAAAAAAAACAGTTTTTGTCTATTCTACTTTAATGTTGTTAGGGAGAGCTGACAAGTCTGTTTATGAAGAGGTGCTGTGTTTTATTTATTTATTTTTTCATTTTGGTATTGATGCATGATTTCCCATGCCTTTTGTTTGACAATAGCTTTCTTAGTAGCCCTACAAATGTCTGTAATTAAATAAACCTGTGCCTGTGTAGGTTTCCTCTGGGTACTCTGGTTTCCTCCCACACTCCAAAGACATGTTGGTAGGTTAATTGTCTCCTGCCTAAATTGGTCCTAATATGCATAAATATGAATGTGAGTTAGGGACCTTGAGGGCAGGGACTGATGTGAATGAACAATATACTTTATGTAAACCGCTGTGTAAAATTGACTACGCTATATAAATACTAAATAAATAAACAAGATTCACCCCCATAGATTTCCATAGAATGGCTAAGAAGTATTCAAACTTCAAGCGCAAAACTGTTTTTGAATTGAACCCAGGCAGCTTTGCTCATTCCTACTCACCATTATAGCATGTTCTGTTTGGCTGCAGATTGTTCTTGCTAGTCCATATCTTCCAACCTTTTCAGATAGGAGCAAGGGACACCTATTAGCAAATGTATGTAGGCATAGGACAAATGTCCCCCGCCACACCCCCTCAAAGGAGAGTTATACAAATAAATTAGTCAAACCCACAAATGCTTCTTTTAACACTACTATTCCTGAAAACTGGGTGAAAGGTTTAGCACTGTGAAACACTTTTTGAAAGATAAATAGTGCATTTGATATACAACTACCGTATTTTCCGGCGTATAAGACGACTGGGCGTATAAGACGACCCCCTACTTTTCCTGTTAAAATATAGTGTTTGGGCTATACTCGCCGTATAAGACTACCCCTCTTCCAACGCACACCAAATAAAAATGAAAAAACATCAGATTTGATTTCAATATGGTATGCTATTTCAGTATGGTATTCCAATGATGGGGTGCTATTCCTCCCACTGATACCAATGATGAGGCACTACTCCTCCCACTGACACCAACGATGGGGCACTATTTTATCCACTGACACCAATGATGGGGCACTATTCCTCCCACTGATACCAATGATGGGACACTATTCCTCCCACTGATACTAATGATGAGGCACTATTCCTCCCACTGACACCAATGATGGGGCACTATTTTATCCACTGACACCAATGATGGGGCACTATTCCTCCCACTGATACCAATGATGGGACACTATTCCTCCCACTGACACCAATGATGGTGCCCCATCATTAGTGTCAGTGTGTGAGGAATAGTGTCCCATCATTAGTCAGTGGGAGGAATAGTGCCCCATCATTGGTGTCAGTGGGAAGAATCGTGCCCCATCATTAGTCAGTGGGATGAATAGTGCCCCATCATTAGTCAGTGGGAGGAATAGTGCCCCATCATTGGTGTCAGTGGGAAGAATCGTGCCCCATCATTGGTGTCAGTGGGAGGAATAGTGTCCCATCATTAGTGTCAGTGGGAGGAATAGTGCTCCATCATTGGTGTCAGTGGGAGGAATAGCACCCCATCATTGGTGTCAGTGGGAGGAATAGCGCCCCATCATTGGTATCAGTGGCAGGAATTGCGCCCCATCATTGGTGTCAGTGGGAGGAATTGCGCCCCATCATTGGTATCAGTGGAAGGAATAGTGCCCCATCATTGGTATCAGTGGAAGGAATAGTGCCCCATCATTGGTATCAGTGGGGAGAATAGTGCCCCATCGTTGGTGTCAGTGGGGAGGAGGAATAGTGCCCCATCGTTGGTGTCAGTGGGGGAGGAATAGTGCCCCATCATTGGTATCAGTGGGGAGAATAGTGCCCCATAATTGGTGTCAGTGGGGAGGAGGAATAGTGCCCCATCGTTGGTGTCAGTGGGGAGAATAGTGCCCCATCATTGGTGTCAGTGGGGAGGAGGAATAGTGCCCCATCATTGGTGTCAGTGGGGGAGGAACAGTGCCTCATCGTTGGTGTCAGTGGGGGAGGAACAGTGCCTCATCGTTGGTGTCAATGTGGAGGAGGGATAGTGCCCCATCGTTAGTGTCAGTGGGGGAGAGGAGCGGCTGCTCCTTCTTTCAGTTTGGCCGCTTGATTTTTGCGGGGCCGCTCGGCTCCGCCTCCTTGCCGGTGATTGGTCGCCTGTGTGCCTTTCCAGCGCTGGCGCCCAATCACCGGTGAGGAGGCGGAGCCGAGCGGCCGCGCGACCATCGTGCGGCCGAACTGAAAGAAGGAGCAGCCGCGCTTCCTGGACCGGATCGTCGTGGGACCGGAACCGGAGCCAGGTAAGGTACAGCAGCCCCTCTGCCCACCCCTGTACACCCCCGCCCCTCGAAAAAGTGCTGTATACCGGCGTATAAGACGACCCCCGACTTTTCAGAAGATTTTCATGGGTTGAAAAGTCGTCTTATACGCCGGAAAATACGGTATATAGATCAGACCAAAATGAGGGACAAATGAGGAGGAAATAGGGATAGAGGGACTTTGTTTCAAATCAGGGACAGTCCCTTACATCAGGGATTGTTGGAAGGTATGCTAGTCTAGGTTCAGTGTTTTGGTAGATCCTTTATTTGTCTAATTAGGCAGAGCCTAACATAGACATAGGGTGACCATTATCCAACAAAGCTGTCTAGAAACCCCCAGGCTATTTCTTTACAAGACATGAAGATGCATGCTATAATGATACAAGCATTGGAGGTGTTTGGAATGATTGTGTTTTAGAACAGCTCTAAAATTGTCCATTCTTATGACCACCATCCTGTGACTATTAGTATTATTATTATACAGGATTTATATAGCGCCAACAGTTTGCTCAGTGCTTTACAATATAACGGGAGACAATACAGCAACAATACAGTTCAACAGAAGAGGGAAAGGAGGGCCCTGCTCCTTGGAGCTTACAATCTAGTAAGGGAGGGGCTAGTGGTACAAAAAGTAGTAACTGTGGGGGATGGACTGGTTGAAAGAGTAGAATATTCCATTATTAGCTGAGGGCAGGATAGGCTTCCCTGAAGAGATAGGTTTTCAGAGATCGCCTAAAAGTGAGCAGAGTAGGCGATAGTCTGATAAATTGGGTTAGAGAGTTCCAGAGGATGGGGGAAGCTCTGGAAAAGTCCTGGAGATGAGCATGGGAGGAGGAGACAAGAGAGCTAGAGAGTAGGAGGTCTTGCGAGGAGCAGAGAGTACATTTTGGGTGATATTTAGAGACAAGATCCATGATGTAATTTGGGGCAGAGTTATAAATGTCTTTAGATACAGAACGGTTAGTAAGGTGGATAAGTCTGGCAGCAGCATTCATGATAGACTGAAGAGGGGATAGCCTGCGATTCGGTAGGCCAATGAGGAGGGAGTTACAATAGTCAAGGCGAGATATAACAAGGGAGTGAATAAGTTGCTTAGTGGTTTCCGAGGTTAGGAACGGGCGTATCTTGGAGATGTTGTGGAGGTGAAGTCTACAAGATTTGGACAGTGATTGGATTTGGGGGTGAAAGGACAGATAGGAGTCTAGGATTACACCTAGCACCCTGGCATGAGGAGAGGGAATGATGATTGTGTTATTGATCTTGATAGAGAAGTCAGGGGAGGGGGCACGGGCTGGGGGAATACTAAGAGCTCAGTTTTGGAAAGATTGAGTTTGAGGAAGTGGACATGTCGCTTAGTAGATTAGTAATGCGAGAGGAGACTGAAGGGGTGAGGTGAGGGGTAGAAAGATAGATTTGTGTGTCATCACCATAGAGATGGTACTTAAAGTCATGGGAGTTTATCAAGTGACCAAGGGAGGAAGTGTAGATGGAGAAGAGAAGGGGTCCAAGGACAGAACCTTGAGGGACCACTACAGAAAGAGGGAGTGAAGAGGAGGAGGCAGCGTTATAGGTAACGCTGAAGGTGCGCTGCCATAGGTAAGAGGAGAACCAGGAGAGAGCAGAGTCTCTGAGACCAAGAGAGTGCAGTTTTTTGAGGAGGAGGGGATGGTCAACCGTATCAAAAGCCGCAGAGAGATTCGCTGGTACAGGATCGGGCTGGGGCGGGGGGTGGAGCCTGAACATGGCGGCACGGGAGAGAGGGTGTAGTAAGCACTCTCCGTTAGCCTCCCCTCGTTTTTCCTCCCTATGAGGTCTCGATAGAATGACCAGCAGCATTGAGTGAGTGCGGGGACCCACCTGCTGGAGAGGGTTCGCGGAGTCCCGGGGACGGTCGGATCCAGGAGAGTGTCAGGAGAGAGCCGGGAGAGGGACACCTCAGGGTTTTCTCACGACGCCCTGCGGCGGCTGCTGAGGAGGAGTGGGGTTGCCAGGGAGACGGTCGGGCAGCCTGGAGCCAGGAGAGAGCTGGGAGAAGGACGCCTCGTGGTTTCTT